TCCCACTTGATTGCTATCAAGAAAATATTGAGATACTTGAAAGGCACTACTGACCTTTGCCTTTGGTATCCAAAAGGTAGTAATTTTAACCTACTGGGATATGCTGACATTGATTATACAGGGTTCCTTGTGGATAGGAAGAGCACATCAGGTATGGCACAGTTCCTTGGTTCATGTCTTGTGTCATGGGCTACTAAAAAGCAAAATTCAGTGGCCTTATCTACTGATGAAGCTGAGTATGTTGTTGTTGCTTCATGTTGTGCTCAATTGTTGTGAATCAAACAGCAATTAATGGATTTTGGAATTGATGTCGGTTGCATCCCTATTTTTTGCGATAACGCTAGTGCTATTAGTATGACAAAGAACATGGTTCATCATAAGAGGACTAAGCACATAGATGTTAGACATCATTTTTTAAGGGACAGTTATGAGAAATGCTTGATCTCCATGGAGTTTTGTGCTACTGACATGAAAATTGCTGATATCTTCACAAAAGCCTTAAGTAGAGATCACTTTGAGAGGAACAGGTTGGAATTAGGGATGATTAAGATCACCTAAAAGGACCAGTTCAAGGTTAAACAAAAAAAATGAATGAAAAAAAATGATGAAAAAAATGAAAAAAAAATTGAAAATTGAAAATATTTGGTTAGAAGTTTGTAAATTGTGTATAATTAGATTAAATCTTGCTCAGTCTTATACTTTCAATAGTATACTCTTGTTTTATGTGTTAAAATGACTCATTAATCTCTAATGATATTTTCTCTATTCTGGCAAATTTAGACTTACACAAGAGAATTATCGGTGAAGAACCTAGTTCACCAAGATAACACGGTATGTTTTCTACACTCTACATAATTTGAAATAATAATATTTGGATCATGAGCAGAGTTCTACCAAATTCCAAAGTTCTTTTGAAATTATTCGTTATAAGTGAACCAGTTCCATTCAAGACTCCTAACCGTATCAAACTACCTAGATTCTTTTACGTCTGCTACTGAGGGGGAAGTAAGCGGTTCTTCCGAAACTGATCAGGTATCTTCTGATTCTAAAGTTACTATTGAGACAATTTCTGAAGTTGCTGCAGATTTGTAAAATAGATTTGTACTGGTAGGATCTATAGCAGGTGTTAAGACTACAGAATCTAAAGAAGTTGGTGGTAAAAATGAAAGGGAAAAAAGGGGAGCTAGGGGTGCTAGGAGTACTATGAGGGGAAAGAGGACAAGAGTGGCTGATTCTTCACCCACTCTTGTAAGTTCAACCAAAGACGCAAGTGCAATGGTTGTTTGGAGAGATGAACTCGGTTCATCTGTAGAGGAAACCCTCGCAGACCTGTAGAAGAAAGTGACTGAAAACTATAATCCAGCTTCTTGATCGAGTTATCAATGGCACCAAAACTCATACCATTCCCTATGGCTTCATTCTCACAACTGTGCCTGCACATTTCAATGTACCTATGAAAGTGGAGTTAATACTCTCCTTGCTTGCGATTATGAAGTCAATGTCACTCTTAAAGAACCTAGTTCATCCAAAAGGTACTAGTGAATAGCAATGTCAGAGCCTTGGTGCAAGAAAGTGGAGCTAAAGATGCTGAGATTGAAAGGCTGAAGAAGAGGTTGGTTGAGGTGGAGACAGAGAGAGATGCTCTCAGAACTGAGTTGGGCAAGAGAAAAAAGAAGAATGATGGCATTCTTCAAGATATGATAAAAACCTTCCAAGTCAAAAAGCAAGCACCTAGTTCTTCTCAGCCTTAAGCCTCCTAGCCTAGTGTAGATCAACCAGTGACCCAGTTCGGGACATTTTGTTTCTTTTGATCATGTTTTCAGTATTTTTATTTCTTCTTATGCTTTGTGGTAGAATCTTATCAATCATCAATGAAATTCACTGTCTATTTCTCTAACTATTTGTTTATATTTCTTTGATGGTTAAAATTCTTAGCTTGATCTATGATGATTAATCCATGATTGCATTTGAAGTAGTCTCAGTGGATATGAGTAAGCTTTAAAATCTAGTTATCTCACATTTTTTATGCATCTTTTCGATGATGTCAAAAGGGGGAAAAAGTTGTGCTTTAAACAAGTGATGTTTACACTTTGAACAGTAATATTTATAACCTAATGTATCTGGTCCCTGATGATAAGTGAAAAATTTCTAACTTTGCATTGATGTTGAGCTGAGTTCTGACAGGGCCTAAGTGTATGAAAAGCACAAAGTTTGTCATCATCAAAAAGAGGGAATTTGTTGGCCCAAGTAAATGTTAAGTTTTGAAGATTGACAAAGGAACTCAGACATGAACCAGGCCCATCCCTCAGGTTCATAAGAACGTGCATATTCGAGCATATGGGATGCACGTGAAGGAGATAAGCTTAACTTGGTGTATTTAATATCTCCTGATCGAAAAGGTTGCATAATTGATAAGGAGAAGGACTCCTTAATCAAAGAGAACACTATCTAAGATAGGGAAGGAGTTAGAAGTTGAAATAAACTAGAACTCTTCCAGTAAGGAAGAGTTGCATCAGAACTCTAGTTATTTCTTCATCTACTAACTCTATAAATTGCAAGATGTTCTCACATTACAGTGTTGCACAAAAACGCAGAAATTAAACGTGAATTGAGAGCAAAATAGCAAGGGTTTTTGCAAGCGGTCCGAGCGTGATTCAAGTGTGCAAACTTGAAGCTACATGAACCAAATTGAAGAACCAGCTCCATAAAGAGTTCTATGTGTCTCTCTTTATTTCTAATTCAATTGTAGCAGGTGTTTTCATATTGTACCTTTCAGTTTTATCTAGAAGCAATTGTAATAGGTACTTTGAGTATTCAAGTTAGAGTTAACTTGAAGTTGTCGCAACAGTTAGAGGCTGGTTGCTACAACGGGATTAGAGTTAATCCTTAGGTTTACAAAGAGTTTTGTAAATGCTGTTTTGGCTCAGTAATTTAGTGAAGTGTTAGGAAAAATTCTACTGAGTAGTAGGTCGTGGTTTTTTCACCTTTGAGCTAGGTATTTTTCACATAAGAATCTCTATGTTCTTTAATTTCTGTACTTATTATTCCGCAACAGTCGTAATTGGAACACATAGAAGAATCAGATCCTTTCATAATCAATTTAAGCGAAAAATTGAACGCGACACGTTCTTGTGTGGTATTGAAGTCTAAAACATCAAAAATAAACCAATTGTGGTTCACTACAACCAAAAAGATAAAACTTTATTTCCCTGCAATTCTCCGCCTTGTTCAAATGCAGCTAATTCGAGATTCGAGAAATTTCCACTTATATTGGTAAACCATGTCTAAATGATCCCACTCTGCCAACAGGAAAAACTTCTTGCCAATGATCTTCCAAATTTCGCCTCATCGTTTATAAATTATATGTGTGTGGACGCTTACACAAGAATTCCAAATTAAATAACGAAATAAATAATTCAAGTAACCTTTTTCCAACCAAAACAAATATAATCCTACAAGATTTTTTACTTTAATAATCCAATTTTATCCCAAATATAATTACTCGGGCTTATGCTTTTTCTTATATTTTTCAGCCGCATAAAATGTCATATACGTAAAACATCAAATATTAGTTTGTTTTCGCGGTTTAACCAGCCCCCCTTTCAGTTAAAATAGCACAGTCTAGCCAGTTTTCGGACGGGTCATTCAAAAATAGCCAATGTTTGCCAAGTCATTGAAAAATAGCCACTATTTTGCTGCAACAGAGACCGATCCAACATAATATACTGGAGTTCAATGTACCTGTGTATGAACTTTCAACATATTATGCTGGACTGGTATACTTTGCTGGCTCCAGTATAATATACTGGAGACTGGAGCACCGGTGCTCCAAACTCCAGTATATTATGCTGGACTACGGGTGACAAAACGGTTCAAAGAAAATAGTTAACCACCCATATTATTCATTAAAAAATAGGTTGGATAATGAACTATTTAAAAACGGGTCAAATATGGATAAAAACCATATTATCCATTTTCTAAATGGATAACCAATGGTTAACCAATGGGTCTTACTTTTACATTTGTAAAGCCTCAAATTAGGGGTTCCTCAAGTTAGGGAGACTAAGAATTCTCCCAAAAATGATCATATGTAAGAAGTCATGGATAATATGGTTACCCATATTATCTGCCGGTTAACCCATTTTTATCCGTATTAAATATGGGTCGGGTTGGATAATTTACCCGTTTTTTCATTACCCGTTTTCGACTCCAACCATATCCGACCCGGTCCGCCCATTTGCCACTCCTATGCTGTACTGGTATATTATACTGGAACTTCAATATATTAGACTGGAGTTCCAGTATAATTCCAGTATATTATGCTGGAGTATTTTTCCGGATTTTGAACAGTATTTTCGTTCAGGTTTATTTTTACATGAAAAGTAGCTAAATTTTGACTACTTTTGAAACTGTGATTATTTTTGAATAATCACTTGTAAATCTGGCTATTTTTGAATTTCTCCCCTCCTTTCAACCACCCAAAGGAAACAAAATGGCCGACTCTTTTACTGGGGAAAACTACAAAGTACAGCACTCCAAAAAATGATAGCCGGCAAAATTTATATTTTTTATATATTAATGTATATATACATATTTTTTTATATATATTTGATTGGAGAATGCAATTATTTTTGGCTAACCGTCCAATATGTAACTTGCCCTTTTTACTTTTTTGACCCAAATTAGTATATAGGAAAATGTTATGGTTGGATAATTCTTTAATTTCAACTTGTGAAAATAATGAAAAATAAATAATTCTTCCGATAATGCTTGCTTCCCTTTCACATATTTGCGTCCGTATATATTTTTAGAGGACTACAGTTTATTTCCTTTGCATTTTTGATAACCAAAATAAAATAAAATTTGGTAGTATTTTTTTTAAAAATATTGGAAAAAATGGACAAGTAATACGTATTATGTTCTTGGTTTCTGTTGGTTGTCTCCTTCATTACATCACACGTAAGGAGGAGAGAGAAAGAGACACACAATGGATCAAGAAAAGTAAAACTGAGTGATCTAATTTCTATCTCTCTGCATGTCCCTGCATGTTCGAACCATAGCTACTTTATTGATCCATTTTTTCGACCAAAATAAAAGTAGAGAAAATCTATTGTCCTTTTCGCTAATATCGAATTAAAAATATTGAGCAATGATGAAATCCATGTTGAGAAAATATTCATCACTTTGATCCTGAAGAAAGAAGAAGAAGAAGAATTATATAATGAAGGCATTGGAAGCAACCGTAAGGAAAACACAATTGGTAGCCAGAAAACGAGCACACACAATTTTCGGCACGTATGGACCAACACAGGTAGATGATCAAGACCTTAACAAAGAAAAAGAATTAGAAGAAAATATTAATGAAGGTCACACAAATGGAGAATTATATCACTCAGAAAAATTTCTTCCAAATGGAGATTATTATACTGGATATTGGGTCGATAATGTACCTCACGGACAAGGAAAATATTGGTGGACAGACGGATGTATGTACGTAGGAGATTGGTTTAGAGGCAAAATGATGGGAAAAGGTATATTTAGCTGGCCATCTGGTGCAATGTATGAAGGGAATTTCAAGAATGGTTATATGGATGGAAATGGAACATATACAGCACCAAATGGAGATACATTTAGAGGTTGTTGGTTAATGGATTTGAAACATGGACATGGTATTAAAGAATATGCAAATGGTGATTGTTATGATGGGGAATGGTGTAGAGGATTACAACAAGGAAATGGGAAGTATACATGGAAAAATGGGAATTATTATATTGGTGAATGGGAAAATGGTACAATTTGTGGGAATGGGAAATTGTATTGGAGTAATGGGAATTTATATGAAGGAAATTGGGAAGATGGATTGCCTAAGGGGAAAGGGACATTTAGATGGGGTGATGGGAGTTATTATGTTGGTAATTGGAGTAGAGATCCAGATGAATTAAATGGTACATTTTATCCATCTGAATCTTTATTAGAAAGAGGGAATTTTGAATGGGATCCTCAACAAGTTTTCAATGTTGATTTGATGGGATGTACAATTTCTCCAAATGAGAAGGTTTCAATATTGCCTTCACAGAAAAAACTCGCGGTTAGGATATCATCGAAGCCTGGGGACAACAACGTTAGTAGGCCGAGGAGGATATCGATAGATGCAGCAGTAGATAAGGAATTTGGTAGAATGGAGTTATCAGATGGAATAGGAACAACTACTACTGGAATAGGAACAACTACTACTACTACAAGTAATTCTTGTTCAGATATTGAAGCCATGGTTAGTTTGCAAGAAGCTGAAGGATATAAAGGAGGTAGTCCTATTAGAATTCCTAAGGTTGTTAAAAGGCAAGGAGTCACCATTTCTAAAGGGCATAAAAATTATGAACTTATGCTCAATTTGCAGTTGGGAATCAGGTAGCTAAATTTACTTCATATAGAGTTCTAATTCCTGTTACATTTTCATTTCTTGAACTCCTATCTTTTATACATGAAAAGCCTAGAGAAACTGGTGTAAATAAAGACAATTTACTATGTCAATTTATACATGAAGGGGAGCCTTGGCGTAACTTTTAAAGTTGCTGCCATGTGACCAGGAGGTCACGGGTTCAAGCTGTGGAAACAGCCGCTTGCAGAAATACAGGGTAAGAATGTGTACAATAGACCATTGTGGTTCGGCACTTCCCCGAATCCCGCGCATAGCGGAAGCTTCGTGCACCGGGCTGCCCTTTTACTATGTCAATTTAGCAGTTATTTCAAGGTATTAACTTGCAATATTACAAGACATGAACCATTTTAGTACCTTTTGCCTATAGTTTTGGTTCTATGCACTGACGAAATAAGACATATTTGCACAATTAGATCACTTAAACGGGACTTGCAGTTAACTCTATATAATAAACATTTATCAGTGGCTTGGAATAAGTGGTAAGAGACATGCTATAATAGGCCAAATTACAATGTTATATACTTGTCAGTGTATACAAATTAAATCCTTTCTGAAAAGTGAAAACCTGTAATAAGTGTCTGTCATCTTGCATATTTAGGCTGAGAAGAGTACGTTTTGTTTGTGTATGATACCTTGTAATGTGAATAACATATAGGCATACAATACAAAAGCTTGGTCCTGTTCCAACACTTGATCTGGAGCCATCAGCTTTTGATCCAAAAGAGAAGTACTGGACAAGATTTCCGCCTGAAGGATCCAAGCATACGCCGCGTCATCAGTCTTGTGAATTCAGATGGAAAGATTATTGCCCAAAAGTTTTCAGGTAATACTTCCTCAGCATGCAACATTGACAACTTCATTTCTTTGTATACTGTGATTGAAACAGAGTTAGGAGGCTTTTATCTGCAAAAAGACAATAAGCATTTTCGACCAATATATTGTCCAGGGCTTTAAGGATGTTATTTAAGGTGGATGCAACAGAGTATATGCTCTCCATTTGTGGCCCTCTCAGAGAGCTAAGCTCTCCTGGAAAAAGTGGAAGCTTTTTTTACTTGACAAATGACGATAGATACATGATCAAGACAATGAAAAAGGCAGAAGTAAAGGTGAGATCTCTAACATCCTCCATAATATATGCGCTTAATTGCAATGAAATAAGGTTCAAAGTTGAGGTACTTGCCATCAGTAGCGAATTTTAGAATTTAGAGTTAGTTGGTTCTGCTCTTTATATATGTGGCTATTTTCTTCTCTCATACACATGATCCGAGAATCAGTATTTCTTGATTATGAAAACCACATGATTGCTCTTCTGATTTTTCCTGTCAACGCGTGCTTATTAGGTACTTATAAGGATGCTCAGCGCTTACTACAATCATTTTCGTTCTTTTGAGAACACCCTTGTGACTAAGTACTATGGCCTGCATTGCCTGAAGCTAAATGGACCAGCTCAAAAGAAGGTATTCACATAATAATACATTGAAAAGTACACTATATTTAGTTGCTAGAAATTATTCACCACTAAAAACTTCCAATCTGTTCAATGGTTTAGGTCCGGTTCGTGATCATTGGAAATCTTTTCTGCACCAATTACACTATTCATAGACGGTTTGACTTGAAAGGATCAACATTTGGCAGAATAACAGATAAACCAGAATCAGAAATTGATACAACAACAACTCTTAAAGACCTTGATCTGAACTTCATATTCAGGCTACAAAAATCATGGTTTGAAGAATTCAGGAGGTAAAATTTGTTTCCTCAGGTTAACTGACTATTTAACTTTGATATCAATACCAATATCTGGTCTTTTAACTATAAATATTATTTTGGTGTTGCAAGAAAGAACTCTTATCAGGGGTGGGCTTATAATTCTGATTATGTGTTCATTGAACCATCGCTTTCTGGCATATACAATAATTTCACAGAACTCAAAACTTTGAACCTATTAAGTTTATATCCTGAGTCCCTCTGGCTCTAATATTACTTTCAATTTGCAGGCAAGTTGATAGGGATTGTGAGCTGTTGGAACAGGAAAGAGTGATGGACTACAGTCTTTTAGTTGGTGTTCATTTTAGAGAAGGAAATGCTACTGTTACTGGATATCAAACTCCTTCTGGCTGTAAAACACCTATTGGTGGGTGCTAATCTCACAACACTAGCATTTACATTTATCAATCATGGCAGAAATTATCTTCTAGCTTTTAGTAAATCTTCTTCACTTTTGGACAACTCATTTCTTTTACCTGTTAACTGCTTTCCTCATAATCAAGGATCAAACATTGTTGTAAAAAACAAGAAAGTATGAACTTTTTCATGTTGCAGAAAATGGCAGCTCAGAAATTGAACCGGTTCATCGGTTTTCTCGATCAGATGTGGATCTATTACTTCTTAATGCTGCAGGGTAAGTTTTTCATCTGTCATAACATGTTAAAATACAATAATGGCGTATAATTATTTACACCATCAATGTATATAAGTTGAATTCTATCTCAACCAGTCCAAATATACTCTTAATAGTGTGATACTATCCGCTTTCGCCAAGCAAGAAGGTCTCATACCATTAAGATATCCCTACACTTTATATCTTTTCAGCTACCAATGTGAATCTTTGTTCCTACACCCAACAGTACACCATCTAATAATTGTATCGTCGCATTAAGATTTGAATTGTTTTTTCTACTTGAGTGGATATCAAAGTGCAACTTATTTTATGCAGGTTGACAAGCACAAGTTTGGGAGTAAACATGCCTGCAAGAGTTGAAAGGACAAACAGGAAAAATGATTTGGACTTTCAGCTAATAGGAGAACCAACAGGAGAGTTATATGCTGTGACTTTATATTTTGGAATAATAGACATACTTCAAGACTATGACATTACCAAAAAGCTTGAACATGCATATAAGTCTATCCAATGTGACCCTAACTCAATCTCAGCAGTTGATCCAATGGCATACTCCAGGCGATTTCGCGATTATATATTCAAAGTTTTTGTAGAGGACAATTGACGAGGAATATAGTACTTGTTTTTCTTTTCTGAATTTGATGGGAGGACTCCAACAATTTTTGCTGTTGAAGCTTTGAAGAAACTTATGCTTCATGGAATTTTGTCATTTTTATCATCATAGATATATATACACTAATTTAATAGCAATTGTATAGAGAAATTAAGTTGTAAAAGGAGCAACTCAAATTAACTTTGTTTTGATACTTAGTACCTTTTGTCAATTAATTAATCCGAGCCCCTTAAACCTTATGGGGTCTTTTGATTCAGTGTGGTTCATGAACATATTTTATTTTGTAGTTAAGTGTAAAAAAAAATACTGTAAAAAAAAGAAGGATTATTTCATTTGGAATCCTCTTCAGTTTTGTTCCCCTTTCCAGTTTTGTTCCAACTAAGACGTGGCCATTGGTGTTGAGGACTAGATCACTTGGTGAGTGTTTACCCTAAAAACGGATAACAATTGAATTTATACTGTGATTTTAAGGACACGTGATTTTACTTGGCACAAACTGAGAAAAACGTAATATTGTTATTAAAATTAACTGCAAATAGAAATAAAGCAAACCAAAAGAAATGTATAGCTTTGATCCTCGAGCTAGGTCGTCTTCGAATCAAACAAGTACTTCGGTGGAAAGTATGAACAGAATAACAAAGTATTGAGAGCTTTAAAAAGAAGAAGATAGTATATTGCTTTATGTAACTTGAATATAATGTGTTTTACAAATTATCAGACCCCCTTTATATAGTAGGGGAGTCCTACCCTTAATACAATCCTAAATACAGTAAGAAATCCCATGATTAGTGTATTGAAAAATCAAGTTAACATTTGGAATTAATTAAGTGTTGACACGTCAAGACACGTGGATCAATAACAGAATGACAGCTGGCAAAGAATAGTCGAAGAGGCACGAACCTTAACAGGCCCGGGTAAATATTCAAGAAAACAGGAAGGAACGGTTATTCGGACCTCTTGATAATTTGAAGAGGCATCGGAAGAGTGAACCTAGATAGCAAAAAAGTATAGATACGTATTATCCGTGATTAATGAGCATCAATGATGGGAAACGTTATAGAATCTTTACGAAACAGTTACGATTGCCAATTATAACGTTACATTAATGCCATTAAATGCGCATAATGGCTCTGTTATGAGAGGAAAGAAACGTATTACTTAGAAATAGCTATAAAAGTAGAGAAATAACATTTGTAAAGACACAGAATATCATTGGAATACATTGATTTACTTTGCTTTCCTTTACTTATTCTGCTATCATTTAAGTCAATTTCTCTTATTTGTTTTATATTTGATTATTAGTAACCCGAGTTCTTCTAAAAGTAATCTTTGACCGAAATTCCTATTTTCTGGTTAAACAAATTGGTTCAGTTACCGGGAATCTGATAATCTTGTGCTTTCCAAATCGATTATTTATCGAAAACAATCATGTCGAATATCAACGACAATAACCAACAAAATTTACCATTCCAAGGAAATCACAACAGCTGAACCAACAAGGTGACAAAACTCCCCCTCCTTCTCCACAACATTCTTAGTGACAATCACGAGAGGGGTCTCCTGACAGATCTGAATCGAATGAAAATTATAGACTTGCAAATGATCAAGCCATCGATGAAGCTCTGAAGAAATTAATCGCTCAACAGGTCAGCAATGCTCTTCAGGCTTTTACCAGTCAGTTGCCAGTTGTACCACCAACACCAACTCCAAACAACAATACCCTGGAAAATCCTCGTTCAGGACTCGTTAATTCAGGTAGTGACGGAACTTCCAACGAATCTCGTGATGGAGAACCAGGTAACCCAGTTAATTTTGATTTACAAAATTTAGTATTAACTTTGCAGAAACAGCTCAAGGAGCAGAACGACCGCATAGAGCAAATACCTAGAGTGCCACCTGTAATCAAGGGAATAGATATGGACGAATACTCACAACAACCTTGGAAGCCAAGTGCTGCTTCTCTACCAATTCCGAAGAAATTCAAGATGCCTAATATTCCGAAATATGATGGAACAACCGATTCACAAGATCATGTAACTGTATTCACAACTGGTGTAAAGGGAAACGACTTGACCAAGCAAGAAATTGAATCAGTATTGGTCGAAAAATTCGGCAAAACACTCACTTAACATGGTATTCTCTTTTACCCAAAAATTCTATAGATTCTTTTGCTGAGCTTGTAGATTCATTTATCAAAGAACACTCGGGAGCTCAAAAAGTTGAAAAAAGAATGGAGGACATTTTCAAAATAAAATAAGGAGATACAGAGTTGCTTAGAGAATTCGTAGACAGATTCCGGCGTGAGAGGATGATGTTGCCACGTGTACCTGATAACTGGGTAGCTACGACATTTGCTAGTAATTTAAATGAGAAAAGTTTAGAAGCCACGAGAAGACTTAAGGAAAGTCTACGAGAATTTCCAGCAACAACTTGGAATGATGTTTATAACAGATACAACACGAAGCTGCAGATAGAAGAGGATACCATCACTCAGTCTTGAAAAGAGGAAAGGTAAGTACAAGATGAGCTGAAACTAAAAAAAGGTCCGGAAAAATAGGTACGAGCCTTACATTGGACCATCAGGAAGAGACTCTCGTTCAAAACAGGAAAACCCGAGGTACGATCATAAATCACGAGATAGGGAGTCAGGTTCATCATCAAGGTTAGGAAAAGAACGAAACACGTGAGAGTCGCGAGATGATGACAGAAGCTCGAAGGCAAAGATCGACGGTTACAATTTTAATATTAGCACATCCGAGTTGGTGGATGTTTTAAGGAGCATGGGAGACAAGGTACGGTGGCCAAAGGAAATGACATCAAACCCGAATAGGCGAAATCCTGATTTTTGGTGCGAGTTTCACAACGATCATGGTCATAAAACGGTGGATTGTAGATTCCTGCAAGGTGAAGTTGAACATTTATTAAAGCAAGGATATCTAACCGAATTGCTTAGTGAAATAGGTAAGCAAGCATATATGAAAAATAGGTAGGAGCCCCCTAAACCTCCTTCACCAAAAATGATGGTTAATGTCATAAGCGGAGGAGAAGAGATTAATGGCGACAACAAAGAAAGTTTCAAAAATTACAGTCACACACATGAAGCGAGTTCAACAAGTTTTGGAAGAAGAAAGTATTACATTTGATGATGCAAATGTAGATGGTGTGCTAACCCCGCATAATGATGCACTGGTAATCTCTTTACTTGTACATGACACTAATGTAAAACAAGTTTTGATTGATTCAGGTAGTTCTGTGAATATCATTCTGTTAAGAGTGGTAAACGAGATGCAAGTTGATGATAAGCTGATACCCAAGTCACACACCTTATCTGGTTTTGACAACTCGAGTGTCGTAACAAAAGGGGAGATAATACTCACCACATTCGTAGAAGGATAAAGATACGAAATTTCAGGTGGTAGAAATGGATATGGATTACAATATGATTCTCGGTAGACTATGGATTCACGAAATAGAGGTTGTTCCATCTACTCTGCATCAAGTTATCAAGTTTCCATCACAATGGGGGATGTGGCAAATCCGTGGTGACCAACAAGCTTCACGAAGCATTAATTCCGTGGCAGATTCAAATGCAAAAAGTGATGAAAAATAGCAATCACAGAATAAAGTTGAGGACGCATCAACACGAACCTCAAATGAAGATGTGCAAACAGATGTAGATTCGAGGCCCGATACTATTCAGGAACCAGAAGAAAATGAAAATATCAAGACAACGATCGAGGAGCTGGAAGCTGTGGTGCTGTTTGCACATTGGCCAGATAGAAAAGTTTACATTGGAACCAACCTCAGCCCGGAAATGAAACGTAAGTTGATTGAATTTTTAAAAGCTAACGCAGATTATTTTGCTTGGTCCCATTCAGACATGATAGATATACCACCGGAGGTAATGACCCACAAATTAAATGAAGATCCATCATACCCACCTGTCAAACAAAAGAAAAGGAAGCAAGGCTCCTTCAAAAACCAGGTGATTCAAGATGAGGTGCAGAAACTTTTAAAAATTGGGTTTATCCATGAGGTAAACTGTCCAGATTGGTTAGCTAATACTGTGGTAGTACCTAAAAAGAATGGTAACTGACGAGTTTGTGTAGATTATACTGATCTGAATAAAGCTTGCCCTAAAGATTCTTTTCCATTACCGCATATAGATCAGCTGATTGATGCTACTGCAGGGCATGAATTGTTAAGTTTTTTAGATGCCTATTCAGGATATAATCAGATTAAAATGGATCCTCTAGATGAAGAGAAAACTTCTTTCATCACGGACAGGGGGACTTACTGTTACAAAGTCATGCCATTTGATTTAAAGAATGTTGGGGCCACATACCAAAAGCTAGTGACCAAAATGTTCCAAGAACATTTAGGCAAAACCATGGAAGTGTATATAGATGATATGTTGGTCAAATCACAACAAACATGGGACAATATTCAACACTTGACTGATACATTTCAGATTCTTCGCAAATTCAACATGAAGTTAAATCCTGAGAAATGTGCATTTGGCGTCTCATCAGGTAAGTTCTTGGGATTTCTTGTTTCTAACCATGGTATTGAAGTAAATCCTGCGCAGATTAAAGCTAGCGAAGAGATTCCAGACATACTCACGAGCAAAAAAGAAGTTCAAAGGCTGACAGGAAGAATATCAGCCTTAGGCAGGTTTATTTCCAAGTCATCAGAAAAATGCTTCAAATTCTTTTCAGCTTTAAAAAAGCAGAACCAATTTGAATGGTCTAAAGAATGTCAACAAGCGCTTAAGAATTTAAAGGCATACCTATCAAATCGACAATTGCTAGTCAAACCAAAAGATGGGGAGAAATTGCTTGTCTACCTTTCAGTTTCAGAAGTGGCGGTAAGTGGCGTATTAGTTCAAGAAGATCAAGGTAAACAATCACCAATCTATTATGTTATGAAATCTTTGCTAGATGCCGAGACTCGATATCCTCATTTAGAGAAACTTGCATTAGCTTTGATTATGGCATCTAGGAAATCAAGACCTTATTTTCAATGTCATCCTATTTCTGTGGTAACCGCCTACCTCATACGTAATATATTGCATAAACAAGAGTTATCTGGTAGATTAGCCAAATGGGCTATAGAACTAAGTGAATATGACATTACATATCAACCTAGAACTATAATAAAATCACAAGTTTTAGCTAATTTTGTGGCAGATTTTAGCCAAGGGATACAGTTAGAAGCAG